CATGACCGGAGCCGAAGGCAGACGCTTAACAACTGAGCCACCCAGGCACCCCAAGACTTTATTTCTTGATAGGAGAAATACCATGTACCTATAGGAATGAGAGAAATGGTTAGAAATTTGAAAATGCTCATGGTAGATTGTCTTTGGTTTCATATTCAAAAGGCAATGAATCTAATTCACCATATTAATAGAATTAAAAACCGCCCATATGATCATCTCAATAGATGCATGCAGAAAAAGAATTTGACAAAATCCAACATCCATTAATTAAAAAAAAACCAAACTTTCAGCAAACTATGAGAGTAGGTCTTAAAAGTTCTCATTATAAGAAAAAAATTTTTAAGTGTATATGGTGACAGATATTAACTAGATTTATTGTGGTGATCTCTCTGCAATATATACGAATATCAAATCATTATGTTGGTACGTGTGTATGTGTGTCTCTAGGAGTTTTCTCTGCCTGTTTACCAACCAGGGTTCAGTTGAAGCTGTTTTCTCCTGGAAAAAACTTCATAGGGCTGGACATAGTGCTGTTTCCCCATCCTCTGTCTGGTGCTTCTTAGAGGCCCCTGAGGGCCCTGACTAGAAGGAAATGCTGGGGAGAAAGATGGAACTCCTAGAAGTATGGAGCCTTGTTTTGGGAAAGTGACCCCATGGAATGACCAGAGAGGCCACTGGGGCTCAGGAATGTGCTGGGGATAGAGCTTCTCATCCCAGCTCGCACTCTGCCACAGATCTCAACACTTCTGTTTGCGACACTCTACATCCTCTGCCACATCGCTCTGACCCACTTCAAGAAGCCTGCTGAGTTCACCACAGGTACCTGTGACTGCCCTCCCTTTTCCCTGCTCTCTACCAGTGTTCCTGTTGCCATGCGACCAGCCTCAGGGGAGTGGGCCCATGGTGCCCGCTGGGAAAGGAAAGGTGGCTGTTCTGGAGCCTTTGCCTCTTCTGCTTCGCTTCTTCCACAGGCCGGGGCTAGGTGGTACAGTGGAAAGTCTAGACAGAAGGGTCTGCAACTAATAAAGCCCCTGGGCAAGTCATGTAACTTCCCTCAGTTCCATCCTCTACAAGATGGGCCTTATAGTCGCTAACCAGTTCATTGACCTTGTGTGGACCAAATGAGATGGTTAACGTGAAAGCCCTCTGTGAACCTAAAATGAACAGCTATAGGGTGAACGTAATCATGGGCACCAGCTCTGTCCTCTCCTCAACTAGTGCACTCACACCCAGGAACAGAGACCTCCCTGACCACTGGGGCCCCCCGGGACATGGTGATGGTAGCCCTTCCCTTTATAGAGAGCGTAAGCGTGCTCAGATTGGAGCTTTCCTTCCTGTAGGCATTGTGCGATTTGGGGGGACACATTTGCCCCCATTCCTAGCCCCAGCCTGTCCAGATCATCCTGTCCTGGCCCTAGTCTTTCCTCCCCTCCAGAAGGCTTCATGAACCCCCACCCAAGAAGGCAGCTCCTCCTCAGTATAATTCTCCCAAGGACTTTCTTTGTATATCTCCCCCCGTTCCCTGTCTCATTTCCCTTTGCTGCCCCCAGCCACCAATGTAATCAGCCTCCCAGACCAGTTGTTCCTGATATTTTCAGCTGACAAAGAGGAACCTACAATGAGAGAGATCATGGGGAGGGAGGGAAGTGAGAGAATTTCTGACCTGTACTCTTTCCACCTGGGACCACAGATCTTTAAGCTGCCACCTTGGCCAGAGAATAGGTTGTGGGGTTCATAGTGGGAACTCTCCCGGAGCCTAAGTCCAGCTCTGCCTCTGTGGCCCAGGCCCTTCTTCAGGGGGCAGGGAGGGGGCAGGAGGGAACACTGCAGGACAGATGATCCCAGAGCTGCCCACTGATGTCTTGCCTCTTCCCCGTTCCCCCCCCCGCCCCGTAGTGGACGATGAAGATGCCACAGTCAACAAGATTGCGTAAGTTTTGCTGCCCCAGCTCCTGGCACTAGGAGCCTTTAGAAGCTGGGATCTAGTGAGACTCCTGGAGCTGGGAGGAGAGTGGGGTGTCATGCAGTGAAGAGAGGGTTCCTGCATTTCTGGCTTCTTCCGGCTTTATCTCACGCTGGGGACGCTTGAAAAAGTTGTTGTTCCTGTCTCCCTGGTTAGGCCAGGAGTTTCTGGGAGCCTCTTGGCCAGGAACTGTAAGTTAGGGCCTGAGTCACCAGAAATGGTTCCAGCTTGGCTTCACCTCCCAGTGGTCACCAGGGAAGGAGTGCATTAGGAATGTAGACCGATGGACTAGAGCAGGGATGTGGAAGGTGGGACCCTCAAGGGCAGGGTGGGCTCGGTTCTGACAGGATGGCCCTTGCTCCAGGCTGTTATTATTCATTAGCACATATAGGGAAAATAAAGGGGTGACCCCTCCGGCCAACAGATTAAAAGAAGGCAACCTTCCCCCCTTGGTGGACCAACTAAGTAAAAATGTCTCTTCACCTGAGGCAGTCCTGGACACAGGCCTTGGCTATGAAGCTGGGTTTCAGGTCCTTCCTTTCCCCCTTTGCCTAGTGCCTTCATGCAGGGCCTAGCCGTATGGGGTGACCCTGCTCTTATTTGGGCTAGAGAAGGCAAGCTCAGAAATCCATATCTCTGAGCAGAGAAGAGAAGAGAAACCCCTTAGCTTGGCATGCCTGTGCACCTGGCAGACATGTATAGGAGGACCATATTCCAGGGGAAAGTTCTGGGCAAGTGTCATGACCCATGACATGAATGCCTAAGGTGTGCCCATCCCTGGTGCCAAGGCTTCCCTGGAGGGGGAGATTAAGGGACAGTCGGTAGATCCTTAGCTGGATGGCTCCTTCCCTCGGTCTGTCACTGCTACAGGTAGTTCCAGGATGAGGGGGGATGAGCAGGGCTTCTTGGGCCCAGGGAAGTGAGTGTCTGAACTAAGCAAGGGCGCTCCCATTCTCTGCCCAGGCTCGAGCTCTGCACCTTTACCCTGGCGGTCGCCCTGGGTGCTGTCTTGCTGCTGCCCTTCTCCATTATCAGCAATGAGGTGCTCCTCTCACTGCCTCGGAACTACTATATCCAGTGGCTCAACGGCTCCCTCATCCATGGTACGTAGCTCCTGGCTGCAACTTGGGGTGGTGATAGGGAACAGACTCGGTTCATGCAGACACAGGCAGCCTCGGCTAATTAGTCGTATATCACCCCATCCTTGTCCCCTCCTCCACCACATGGTCGGTCCCCGGTAGGTTGTCTACCCTCCCCCCACCCCATCCCTGCCACTGACCACCCCTGCTTTTCCTTTTTTGCCCTAGGCCTCTGGAACTTCGTTTTTCTCTTCTCCAACCTGTCCCTCATCTTCCTCATGCCCTTTGCGTACTTCTTCACTGAGTCTGAGGGCTTCGCTGGCTCCAAAAAGGTGAGTGGGAGATATATCAATCAATCAAGGCAGGAAACAGAATTCCACTCAGATGGTTCAACTGAAGAGATTTATTTTATTTTATTTTTATTTATTTATTTTTAAATTTTTTAGAGGGGGAGGGGCAGAAGGAACGAGATAGTCTTAAGCAGGCTCCACACCCAGCACAGAGCCTGACGTGGGGCTCTATCTCACAACCCTGTGATCATGACTGAGCCGAAAGGAAGAGTCCGCCGCTTAACTGACTGAGCCACCCAGGCGCCCCACTGAAGAGATTTTAACAAAGACTATTTACAGAGGTTTAGTCAGAGTTAAGGGGATCAACAAGGAATTTGAGGTCAGCGGGAAGTCATTACCACCCTTAGGCCTGTGGGAGCAAAAGGAAGAAATAGTTTCTGGAACCCATTGACAGTTGAAGCTGGGAGGTGCTTCACAGCTACAGCCCAAACCATAGTGACAAAGGTTGAAGGAAACTGAAGAAATACCCTGATCCCTTTCTCTTCCTACGTTCCGCTCTCCTGCCTGTCCTTCTCACTGGGCAAGCCGAACCAGAGGGCAAAAAGTTTGTGTGATACAGCCCTTGGGGGTCAGCCTCCCACAGCAAGGCAGGATGGGGAAGGAGTTTGGGGAGGGGGGTTGCACATGAAGACTATACTGTATAAGGAATGGCCCTCGATGTAGGTAGGAAGACAGAGTGATTTGGCACAGTAAGAGGGAGACGCCCTTCCCTGTCTCCTGAATCCAGTGCTCTCTGGTTTCCCCAGCCAGGCTGCCATCCCATGTCTCCTTCCTTCCCCTGATGTTGATCCTGCCTCTTACCTGTTGCCTCCTCCTATAGGGTGTCCTGGGCCGGGTCTATGAGACGGTGGTGATGTTGATACTCCTCACCCTACTGGTGCTGGGCATGGTATGGGTGGCATCAGCCATTGTGGACAACAACAAGGCCAGCAGGGAGTCACTCTATGGTGAGAGGGCCGGCTTCCTCCCCACCCTCCAGGCTGAGTGGCTCTGCAGTTGGTTGATGGGTTTCCCTGCCTGGAACAACTGTATCCTTCTAAGGTGGAGAAGGTTGGGACCGTGTTTCTTAGAAGTTTAAAACTAATGGATGTCAGGCCAAGTCCAACCTGCAGAAATGATCCATTGCACCCATGCAATGATTAAAAATATAAATGAGTCAGTTGCTAACATGCAAAAGTTGAGAGATTTCACGGTAATATCCAGATTTGTGGCTTTACCTAACAAAGGTGAGGATCTGGCCACACTAGACCCCAGAGATTGGGCCTAATAGCAGTTGTGTTCCTTTTTTTTTTTCCGTCTTATTTTTTAAAGATTTTATTTATTTATTTGAGAGAGCATGAATGGGGGGTGGGAGGGACAGAGGCAGAGGGAGAAGCAGCTTTCCCACTGAGCAGGGAGCTCGATGCAGTCTTTGTTCCCAGGACATGAGCTGAGCTGAAGGCAGACGCTTGACCGACTGAGCCACCCGGGTGCTCCTGTTCTTTAGATATGGCTTAGTGGGCCTCCAGTTTGCTGTAGCCCCACTGCTCCCTCTTCTGCTGACACTGGGCCAGCTTTCCTCGTTCACATTACTTGCCTAACCCCTGTGGGCTTATGTGTGGTGTCCTTCCTAGTGTCTGAGGCCCGTCAGCCCCCAGGAAGCTGGAAGAGAGACCAGCTGACGTACTTCTTTTTTACCCTTAGACTTCTGGGAGTACTACCTCCCCTACCTCTACTCCTGTATCTCCTTTCTTGGGGTCCTGCTGCTCCTGGGTGAGTGTTCAGGATCTTGGAGGGAATGGGTAAGGTCCGTGGATCAAAATAACCAGGGTGGAAGGAGAGGGAATGGAAGGGTGGGTAGGGGAGGTGGTGGAGAGAAGGGTCTGGCAGGTAACTGGCTCCTGTCCCCACAGTGTGTACTCCACTAGGACTCGCCCGCATGTTCTCAGTCACCGGGAAGCTACTGGTCAAGCCTCGGGTATGTAGTGCTCTTTGCCCTTCGATTCCTGCAAAGCCGGAGCCAAACAGTGAAGCTCCCCTACAGTTGTGTAGTACACACCTTGCGGAAGGCCACAGCCTTTGCTGCCTCCCATATCCTTCACCCCCAGCATCTGGGGCTGGTCACCAGACATGCAAGGCAGAGCAAACGGCAGTTGGGAGGGACTGGATAAAGCTTCTGGACACAGGGTGGTGAATGAGGGTTAGGGGAAGGAATGAGACTGTGGAGCCTAGGATGAGCAGGGGTCTCCTGGGGCCCTTGGGATCAGGGAGCCTCTGACAGGTAGTCCCTCTTTCCCCTGTCCCCAGCTGCTAGAAGACCTGGAGGAGCAGCTGCACTGCTCAGCCTTTGAGGAGGCAGCTTTAACCCGCAGGATTTGTAGTAAGTCGTGGTTCTCGCCAGCTGGGTTGGGGGCTGTGCCTTGGGTGGGGGCTGCAGGACTGGGAGGCAGCCCCATCTTCTCTGCCCTCAGATCCCACCTCCTGCTGGCTGCATTTGGATATGGAGCTGCTGCACAGACAGGTCCTAGCTCTGCAGACACAGAGGGTCCTGCTGGGTATGTAGGTTGGTAGGGATTGGGATACCTGCGTTTCCCCAAGGAGAGTAGCCTGTCACTCCTGGCCCTTGCTAACAGCTTTTCATCCCTGTACAGAGAAGCGACGGAAGGCCTCAGCCTGGCAGCGGAACCTGGGCTACCCCCTGGCCATGCTGTGCTTGCTGGTGCTGACGGTAGGTGTCCCATTCCTGGTGGAGGTGAGGAATAGTAGGCTCTTGACTACTTTAGGTCCTTTTAGGGAAGAGGGAGGAGATGCAGGGACCCAGTTATCAGCAATAATAGTAGTTGCCTCTCACTGATTGTCTACTTTGGGTCCTGCCCTGTACTGAGCACACCGATCCCCATTTTGTAGATGAAGAAACAGGAGTGAAGGAGTTTGCCTAAGGTCATACATGGCCACTGAGTAGTTACACAGGTTTTCTCTGGGGTGAAAATAAGGGTGGAGATCAGTCCATCCCTCCACGTTCCATGTTCTAGACTTGGAAATAACTCTTACTGATCTGGGGGAGGAGGTACATTTTTCTCTTCAAACTTTTTGCAATCCTTCCACCCCGAAAGGGTATCTTACAATACCCTCAAAGGTGCTCTGTTGCTAGCAATAACCTTGAAGAGGTCCCACACAGCTAATGGGAAACAAAATGTTGGACCAGAGTGTCTGCTCTTAACATTCAACACTGAATACAGCTGTGGGCTGGGGCAGGAATGGGAGTCCGTGACCTTGCTTCCCATAGGGCCTCTCTGTGCTCATTGTGGCCGTCCACATCCTGGAGCTGCTCATCGATGAGGCTGCCATGCCCCGGGGCATGCAGGTACTGGGCTGCATATCTTTTGGGGAGGGCTTAAGAAAGGCTGGGGTGAGAGACAGAAGCTGAGGCCAGAGGGAAGGCTGGGTGCTGGGTGTTCGGTGGTGCTCCTGGTAGGGAGTATTCCATAGTGACACCACTCCATCTCTCAGGATGCCTCCCTGGGCCAGGTCTCCTTCTCCAAGCTGGGCTCCTTTGGTGCCGTCATTCAGGTTGTACTCATCTTGTATCCTTCTGGAAACCCACCATTGCCTCTGTTCACTGAACCTGTCTTCTGGGACTGTGGTGGGAATGATGGGGAAGGGGGCAAGTCTTCACCCACGCTGGGGTTCAGGAAGAAGGAAAAGACTTCCTTTGAAAGGAGGGTTAGGGGAGAGGTCCATTCCCTTTGAGATGAGGCATTAATCCTTGGGGGCTGGCCAGTTCTTCCTTAACCTAGTGGCAGTTACCTGATGGTATCCTCAGTCGTGGGATTCTACAGCTCCCCATTCTTCCGGAGCCTGCGGCCCAGATGGCACGACACAGCCATGACACAGGTAGCCGGGCGGGAATAAAGGAAGCTCCTGGGGGCAGCAAGGGTGCTAGGTGCTGGCAGCTCTGCTACCCTCACCTCCCCTTTCCTTACTCCCACCTAGATAATTGGGAACTGTGTCTGTCTCCTGGTCCTAAGCTCCGCACTTCCTGTCTTTTCTCGAACCCTGGGTAAGTAGCAAAAGGAGGTAAGGGAATTGGCTTTTCTGAGTACCTACTGGTGCTAAGCATACATTTTATATACATGCTCTCTCTAATTCCCACAACCAACCTAGGTGGAGGTATTACCCCCCATTATACAGATGGAGAAATTGAGGCTCTGTAAAATGCCTGTGTTGAGCTTCAGAATAGTGTTGCTTCAAAGCTCATACCTTTCCATTAGCTGTATCCCACAGCCTCCCCTATTTACTTCCATTTTTTGGTGGAGAAGCACCACTTTCCCCCAAATCTTCCTCTGAGCTGGATCCTCTAATAAACATTCTCATTTTATTATTTTTATTTTATTATTATTTTTTAAAGATTTTATTTATTTATTTGACAGAGAGGGAACACAAGCAGGGGGAGTGGGAGAGGGGGAAGCAGGCTTCTCCCTGAGCAGGGAGCCCGATGCGGGGCTCGATCCCAGGACCCTGGGATCCTGATCTGAGCTGAAGGCAGACGCTTAACGACTGAGTCACCCAGGCGCCCCGACAATGCATCATTCTTAACCTCCTTGAGATGACCTTAAAATGAAAGGAGCCCAGTGCCTCATTTTTTTTTTTTTTTTTTTTAACAAATGACAGGTTTAATTGGCAGGGAAGAAGGGAAGTGATACTACAGCCCTGTGTCCTGCCTTGTAGGACCAAGGGCCTTAAATATTGCTTGCTAAAAGATCAGAAGGAATAGGAGTCTTTCAGCCTTATGGAGGGCCAGGTACATGCTCAGATTAAGAGGCTTCAATGAGAGAGAAGAGAGATGGCATTTTCCCCTCCTGATCCCATCAAATTCCTGGCAAATTCCTTAATGCCCTGCAGATGGCACCACTGACAACGAGTTCTCTGCCCAGAAGAGCAGAGCTCAGATTTGTGAACTCTGCCCTGTCACCTTGGAGCTGAGCCTAAAAGATACATAACAAACAGGAAGTAACTGACTTGGCATCTCTGGCTTGTCGTTTTTTTGTTGTTGTTGTTGTTCTGTCCATTCCTAACGTTAGCTAGGCCTCATGCTAGGCCATTATGACTCAGGCAGCTACAGGATTTAGGAACTCCCATACCCAAGCTCTTAGCTGCAGCTCCTGCCTCGAGGGTCCTCCCCAGGGTGGGATGGGTATCAAAACATGGTCTTGGGGTCAACATGTAGTAAGGGAGATTGCCAGATCAATCCAAACTCATTATTGACGCAAAATCAATAACCACCTAATGATGTGGAAATTATCATGTAGATACTGGTATCTTTGTGTTGTGAGGCCCAGCTACTTCCTCTCTGCCATTTGGTCTGTACACCAAAATATAAACATCCTTCCCCACCTATCCCTCAACTGATCAACCCATCTCCCAAATGACAGCTTGCCGTATGCTACTGTGTCAACTGTGATGAAATTAGCTCATCTCATTCCTGCCGGGGGCCTTCACTCTTCCTCCCACCTATATAATACCTTTTCCAGCCATAACTGCCCCCCCATCTTTGCCCACTTAACTCATACTTTTCCTTTGATGATGGAAACTGAAATGTTACCTCTTCAAGGACTTAAAGATTAGGTCAGACTCAGATTCCCCATTAAATATTTGCATAGAACCTTTTACTTTTCTCTCAAAGCACTGATCATATTTTGGAATTATATACTTATTTGTGTGATTATTTAATTAATATATTTTCCCCCTATCAGATTTTATAAGCTCTACATCTATCGTGCTTATTACCATTGTATTGCCAGTACCTAGCTTGGTGCTTACTGCATGACTGGCACTCAATAAATATTCCAAGAATTAATTTGGGGCAAGAACAAAGATTCAAACTTTTAACTCTGAAAGCTAGAGATGACTGCCCCTCCACTGTCTTCCCTTTTTTCCCCTTTTCCCAGGCCCAAAGATCTAAGATGCCTCAGGAAGACACCACAGGGTAGATGGTGATATCAAATGAAGGTAGAAAGGAAAGTTGTTCTAAACATTCTTCATAAATAAGACCTGTTCTAAAGATTCTTCATAAATAAGATCCTTCACCCTCTCTCTCGCCCAACTTGTCTTATGATAATAGCATGCAGAAACTTTTGCTGGCTCACACTGACCAAATGAATGTGTGCCAGGGTCCAAAGTATGACCCAGCTATCAGAACAGGCAGGTGTCACCTTAGACATTCCATCAGCATGCAAAGCTAGGCAAAGCTAGGCAAAGCTAGGCAGCTGAGCATTCCCAACATCTTCTTCACTGGTTGCCCTCGTTGCCCTGGTATGCAAACTGTTTATCCAGTTCTGGGCACCTCAAAGAGGATAGAGAAAGGCAAGAGAATTCCCTTCAAGGGGTGAGTGGAATGCTAAGGAGCTTTGAGTAGAGGAACTCAGAGAACTGAGGATGTTTAGATTAGAATAGAGAAACCCAATGAAGATCTGCTGTCCAGAAATGGCAGCAGCCTCATTCCTCAAAAACCCAGACGGCACAGCAAAGGATGGGGAAAAGCACTGCAGCTCACTTTCTAATAATCAGCTAGGTCAACAATGGGCCACTATGCCATCCATGTTGTCGGTGGCAAACAGAGAGAACCGAAGATTTCTAAAATCCCTCTCCATTCCCAGAGTCCAGGATTTCACAAATTTTTCTGCTATTTCAAGCCAATCTTTCATTATGACTATCCTCTCAAATATTTTTAGAAAGGTCAGAGAGAGGTAGGGACAAAGGAACAGAATCGCTCAAAGCATGTTTCTTAAACCCAACCCCTGCTAACAACAGACTGTCAGATCCAGGTAGGTCTTACCTAAAAGGAACCTCTGGTTTTCTGGCTTCCCTGGCACCTCTGGTTTTCTGGCTTCCCTGGCACCAGAGAAGAGGGCAATCCCAAAGTTGCTGGTCCATTTCTAGGAACTGGTCCAGTTCCCGTCAGAGAGAAAGGAGGAGGTTTACAGCCTTACCTTGGGCTGCTACAAAATGCCACCGACTAGGTGGCTTAACCAACAAACTTTTATTTTTCACAGTTCTGGAGGCTGGGAAGTCTAAGAATCAGTGTCTGGTGAGAGCGCTCTTCCTGGCTTGCCTTCTTGTTATGTCCTCACATGGAAGAGACAGAAAGCTCTAGTCTCTTTCTCTTCTTATAAGGACATCAATCCCATCAAGGGAGCTGTACTTTATCTAAACATAATTACCTCTCAAAGGCCCCACCTCCTAACACCATCATTTTGTGGGTCATATAAAAATATTAATTTTTTTGAGGTATAATTTGACTAACATTAATTTCGGACACCTGGAAATGAAATTGACACAAAATAGCCCAGCCTATAGCATTCTCACCCCAGAGCTGGAGGAGTTCTTCCCGAAGACCCAGGAAGTCCTGGGAATAAAATGGCCTTGAAGGTACTCAGAGAAAGCAGGACTTTTTCTGTACTTACTGTATTTTCTGTAGGAAAAAATAGGACATGTAGGTAAGCAAAGAGAAAATGAAGATATCCGTAATTTGGAAAGTTTCTGAAATCTTTGTTTAAAGAAAAGGGCAACTTTTCCTAATTCTCCTCTCTGTCCCTCTCCTGCCCCAGTCACCTTGGGGAGTGGATGCCCCTGGTCTTCTATCTGCTCCTCTCAAGGTGCTGTTCAGCAATAAATCATCATTTGGAAGCTCAAAAGTGGTCTGACAGATACAGATGGAAGAGTTCCAGGGCTCTTGAAGGTATTGAAGTTCAAGTTTTAGCTTTCTATTACATTGACTATCTAAGCAATATAGTAATGAGGAGAATACAGAAGTGGGGTATATATTCACTAAGAGGCAACAGTAGATTGTCAGGAAAAAGGGAGGCTTTGGAATCAGAGAGGCCAAGTTCAAATCCTAGTTGCACCACCCAGTGTTGTTGGCCCTTATACACATTACTTAATTTCTTTGAACTCATTCCTCATCTCTAAAAAAAATAAAGTCTATTTTCTAGGGTTCTTTTGACACTGAAAAAATCTATGTAAAGTATCTATTAATATTTAGCACTTAGTGGAGGCTCAATCTGGACTTGTTCCCTTCCTTGTGTTGCTTGAAGAAGTTGAAATTAATCCTCCATAATCAAGGTAGTCCCCTCCCTATGAAGAATGGGTTACTAATCTCATAGGCAGATCAAATCCACAAACACTGTTTACTATGAGAACTGCACCGAGGTTGGAAGGAAAGGGATGAATTATAAGCCACATACACATTTCCAATCCTTGAAGGAGAGGGGAAAGGAGAAAAGATATAAATGGAGGTAAATTTAAACAATACAAAAGATTTAAATAACAGCTCAAGGTAATGTTATTAAACAGTGCATAGATGCCTAATTGTTCACTGAACTATATAGCTGGAACTATACAGGCAGAAATCCCTTCAGGAAAGAATGGAAGAAAAGACATTATCGGTGTTCAGCCTTGAAGTAGATAGGATTTGGACAAAGTGAGACTTGGCAAGTTTAAAAATATATTATGGAGTGTCTTTTTGCATAGTTTTCTGAGTGTTAATTCAGTAATCAGAGAATCTCTGAAAAGAAAGTTATTGTGCTTCCAATGGATTTGTAAACAAGGGCTCGAGGACTTGTGAGCAAATATATCAGATTGTCACTGGGCTCAAAACTACTTTCTCTAGGAAGTATTCTACATTCTTTCTCTCTGTTCTGAGCTTGAGCTTGTCTTCTACTATGCAGTTTCAAGTTCATAGGTTTATTGATATTTTGCCTTTTAAAATTCACTTCAGTTGTACATAACTGTACATTCTGGATGATGATAAGTCTCTAAGCAGAATCTATGCTAACCAGTTGTATGAATCAGATTTAATAGTCTGTGGCTCTGGGGATGTCACAGAACTTTGGAAACTGCAAAGGACTGTTAACATTAGATTTTTAGATTTAGAAGCAATCTGAAGGGTGTTCTAGTTAAGTGTAGTCCAGGATGACAGTGCTAGAACCAGACCCAGCTCTTCTGATTATCAGCAATGCCTGCTATCTTTTCTCACCATATTTGTAAATTTTGAGTGTCTAC